TTGTTGTTTGTCGGGCCTGGGCTGGATTCGAACCCGCCACCTTGGTTGTACATGGCTGGTGTCTTAGCCACTTGAGCCACAGGCGCCGAGCCAATTCTTTTTTCTTTTTTAACAGACAAGTCCTGCTATGTTGCACAGGCTGGAGTGCAGGGGCTATATATATAGGTCCAGTCATTGAATAGGATGGTCTCAAACTCCCACATTCTAGCCATCTTCCTGCCTTAGCTTCCTGAGTAATTGGGCTGTCACATGCTGCTATGCCTGGCTTTCTATTCTTTTAAAAAGAAACAAAATGAGTTTGACCTAATAGTAACATAATGATATGTTTGTGTAACTTATTTTAGTGAAATATAGTCAGTAGCATGAAACGATGTGGGTTTTAAAAAAATCATTATTCATCTATGCATGTCTGTTCTGCCCACACTGATTTTATGTTCCCTCAGGACAGGAACTATGGTTTGTACTTACTTTTAATCTTCACAGTAACTAGCTTAACACACTGTGAGGACTCAGTAAATATGTATATCTCTTCCATCACCTCCTTCAAGTCTCTTTAGTATGACTTGAAGTTTGTGTAGGGGAAATGGCATTTCTAGAGCGACTCATATTAGAATCACCTGAGAAGCTAATTTTGAAAAATTATTCTTGGCTCTATCCGGACCCATTTAACTCTCTAGGTGAGAGCCTGAGCATGAGTTTTGTGGGTTTCTTTGTTGTTGTTGTTTTGAGCTCTGATTCTAATGTGAATCATTAGAATCATTAGTATTCTTTGTTCTTCCAATGTGAGGAAGGTAATTCTAATGTGAAGCCAGGGTTGAAAATCATTGTTCCAGACTACAGCAGTGGTTCTCAGCCTTGGTTTCACATTGGAATCATTTGCAGAATTTGAAAAAATATTGATTCCTTGGCTGAACCACTAAAATTCTAATTCAGTTCATCTGGGCTGCACTCTAAACATGGCGATTTTCCGCACTCCCTTAGGTGATTCTAATGTTTAGCCAAGTTTGAGAATTACTGGTCTAAAACAGAAGTTCGCAAACATCAGAATCATCAGGAGGACTTGTTAAACTAGATTCTGAGAACTAACCCCCCAAATTTCTGATTCAGCCTGTGTGGGGTGGGCCCCAAGTATCTGAATTTCCTGCATGGTTCCAGGTGATGCTACTGTGACTACTAGACTGGCACTTTGAGAACCGCTAATCTTTTGCTTCTCAAAATTTAAAATCTTTATGAACCACCTCAGAATCTTATTAAAATACAGTTCCCAAGCTAGTAGATTTGGGTAGGACTCAGAGTATGTGCATTTCTTTCATTCTTTTTTTTTTCTGTCTCCCTGGTAGAGTGCCGAGGGATCATCATAGCTCACAAGAAGCTCAAACTCTTGGGCTCTAACAATCCTCCTGCCTCAGCCTCCTAAGTACCTGGGACTACAGGTGCCAGCCATGACACCTGGCTAGTTTTTCTATTTTTAGTAGAGACAGGGTCTCACTCTCACTCAAGCTGGTCTGGAATTCTTGAGTTCAAGCAATCCCCTCTCCTCCCCCCAACGTGGCCTCCCAGAGTGCTAGGATTACAGGCATGAGCCAACCCACACCCAGCTGAATCACTGATTTTTTAATTTAGTTGTTTCACAATCTTTTTGCCATTTTGCATAGATCTGTTGATTGTACATTAGAATACACTGGAAAAATTACCTTTGAATACATGATAGCATCTTAATCATACGATGTTCAAAGGAAGGAACTGATGTAAAAACCAACACACACTAGAGGGCACCTGGATATTAGGATCAGGCTGTAACTTTGCTGGTGCCTATTCAGTGCTTACTGTTACTCATGATTTATTCAGTAGCCCAAAGTATTTGTCTGAAACTCATTACAGTTTGAGTCAATTTATGATCCACATTAGAGGAAACTGTGTTTTGAAAAATGAACTATCTCTCTATCTTGATTCTAATGTTACTTTGAAGACTGATGAAGGTGATTTAGTGTAGGTTCTGAAAAGAGCTATGAGTGCTTTATACATGTTGTTCAGATCTTCCCTTATAATGTCTTTGAAAGAAATGACAGATAGTTTACAAATGTGAATATGGAAAGCTTACTCAATCGCCTATAGCCTTCAAGACAACATAAAGCCACAGGTAGAATTCACGATTTACTCTTCAGATTAATACACCTTTGTGGTTGTTGCTAAGACAGCAGGTCAGTCAGCCCACAGATATTTACTGAGCACCAAATACATGCTAGGTACTCAGTGCTAGGAATATAACACCAAATAGGACCCCAGAGCTCCTCTCTTCAAGGAGTTTACATTCCAATCATATGACAAAGGCCAGAAACATGTAACAAAACAATTTCAGCTTCTGCTAAACACCCCACAGGAGACTGAACAAACTTTAATGAAATAATTCAGGAGTATAACTTTTTTCCTTTATTTACTTACTTTTTTTTTTTTTTGCAGGGGTATATCCTCCTTTATTTAATAAACCGAAGACTTTAATAAGTAAACTAGGATGTTTAGCCAGGTGCTCTGAGGAGACACCATCTGAGTTGAGGTGTGAATGGACAAGAGAAACAGAAAAACATGTAGGATCTGGGGGAGAGATCTGGTTTGCCCCAGCCTGGATAGCAGCATTCTTG